TTGCCTTCCCGACATTTTTACTTAGCTTACCCAAGGTAGCTTTAGACTGCTATTTTTTGTATTTTCTTGTTTCGTCGACGATAATCAAAATTCTATAATTCGATTGGTCGTACATCACATGATTCTGCTCCGCTTTAGACGACCCCAAATTTCCGAAGGTAGTATAGATATTAATCTTAATCTTAATTGGTTGACAACCGGTTGAATAAAATAATTCTATTCGGTTAACCGATTAAGGAAATTTTTCTCGGTTCAAATCACTAATCCAAACCTGCAATGTTGTTAGCCTTTTTTTGTTTACTCGAAGACAATATGAAGGACTGCAACGCATATGTCGTTGCAGCTTGTTAAATAATTCCATATAATCTAGCAAATCATTATATATCTCATCATGGGGTTTTTGGCAAGGATGACGATCAGATGTGGGAGCATCAAGTCCAGGATTAATTATAGTGACTAATAAATCCAGATATTGTATTACATTACACATTAACTCTTTATTCTCTTTCATTCTTTCCCATTTAATAATTGGTGTATCTTTTATTTTTCCAATGCTATGTACATAAGTACTACCATGATATTACTACTCAAACCTATATCACTAGTCTTTAAAGTTCTATTTAGGAATCAATACTTGTTCTAAAAATAGTTTAAAGCATTTTTCAAAAAACCATGCAGCAATATGTGAATTGTCAATTAGATTTTGGCATCTTTGTTTGTTTGCCTCTTGTTCTGTTGCTGGGTTTTCATTATGTGAAATAAGTTTATAAAGTTTTGGCCAATACAAATCAGCTGCACTAAAAGTGAAAAAAATCATCTCATAAGATCCCAATTGCTTAATTATATCTGTAAGTTCTATTCGTCTTTTGTTTCAAAATTGGCGAATTCTACGCAAGCACTCACCAAATCAAATAATTTTATCTGCCATATGACTATTACTATCAACCATTTCTTGAATTTCTTTAACAGTAAGCTGTTCTCCATTTAAACTTTGCTTAACATATATTTTTTCTTTTTGTAGGGCTTTTACCTCATCTGTGAATTTAGTACAAAATATCACTACCGAGTATAGTGAGTAAATCGGCCATCCTTATATTTTAACAAATATGCAAAGTATTTAGCCGGCTTAATTTCTCTAATATGTTGTGATCGAAGATCTGCATTTCTGGTCGGATACAAAATAGGAAAAGCACGTGCAATATACCCAGGTGTTTGGAATTCATTAATAGAACTTCCATCTATATTCGACCACATAAGAGGAATATTATTAGCTTGCATTCGATTAAGAGTACTAGCAATAGCATGTTCTTCATTAAGAGATGGAAGAAGTGTAGGAACAAAGTTGCTAGTAATAATTTCTTCAGCATCATTATTGATATTATTAAAATATTCACCCTCTATATCTTTAAGCTGGGGCAGCTAATCAATAATGGGTCTATTGTCAGGTAAGAATCGTAATATTTCATTATCAATAGCAATATTAGTATAATAACGATTATTTACTTTTAACCAATATAGTGTACAAGCAACCTTAATACGACGAACATTAAAATCTTTAAATTCTATACTACAGTCAGACCTCCCTAAATGCAACCCCTCTAATTGCAACTCCTCTCTAAATGCACGATAGAAGACTAGCCCCATAATGGGACTTATAGATAAATGCATATTCTTTATTCTGCAATTGCACGCTAATTGTCTGGCCCACTTATATAAACTCTCTCTATAAATACAACCATGTGATTATTAGCCAATCAAATTCGTCATTTCTAGGCTACTAAAGCCATATTTATTACATGATAATAGTAATATTATGATTTTATTAGTGCTCTTTAATTGCAACCCTCTCTAAATGCATACTCCAGAGCTGGTCCCGATGACGTGCATTTAGAGAGGTCTGACTGTATTTGCAGATTGATGACATACAACAAGAATATCTAATGATAATGGATGCCAGGGAAGCCTAGTTGTAAACTCTGATACATTCTGTGAAAAGTTGATAACATTACCATAGTATGCATACTGACCTCCATGAAGACAATACACTAAAATAACAGGAAAAATTTGTGCAATTAACATTTCTTCTATCTCAGTAAGTCCTTGTAATTCTTCAGGTATATCACCTGGATCCATATTGTTTTCTTCTGAGAATTTTTTTATAACATCTTTAGTATCATAATAACAGTGACAACACTCTTTTCTTATGCCTATAAGCTTAATCGATGGAAATACTCCTTACAAATAGGACATAATTTATTTGCAAGTTTATTAATCTTAGTATGAAAATTTTGTAAAAGATCTTGATCAAATTTAGAAAGCTGCTGTTCAATATTAACAGAAGGTGATTCTACATGCAATGAATTAGTATCTTGGTTCTGGGCATTATTGTTCTCTAGTTGACATTTTGTTCTTTTCTGACGTCTTGACTCACGTTCCCTTTTTAAATGCCTTTCATGTTCTTCAGCAGTTTCTGATTCCCTTTTTTTACACATATTTTCTTGCAATTGAATGCGATGTCTTTCGTTTTTATCATTTGAAGTTTCTATTTTTTTGTGCTTTATAATGGTTCAATTTTAAAGTAATTGACTAACAAAGTATTTTTTTTAAGCACCTTATTAACAGTGAGTTTTTTTAACTCAAATCAATTTATTAGAAAATTACCACAGGTTGAATTAATAAATATCAGGTGTATACAGAGAAACAAGTTTCTTGCTATGTACCCAATAGTCTGCCATAGATCTGCTAAATAACTGCTAAATAACAGTAGCATATTGGCAACATAATAGCAAATTTGGCAAATCTATAGCAAACTATCAGGTATATAACAGAAAACTTGTCTTCCAGTATGCACCCGATATTTATTGATTCAACCTGTATCTACTTTAATTTTAGATTATTTATACAGTTTAAAGTAAAAGAAAACTACTACGAATAAATAAAAAAGAAGTATGTATATAGAAAGTTTTTATTGGGAAAAGCAATGATAATAAAAAATAAACCGTTTTTTAGCTTAATATTTTTTTAATTTAATATAATCTTTTTAATTATTGTTTTTTTTTTTATTGCATTTATTTATTTTTTTAAACCATCAGTTTTATTTATTTTTTTTAAATTATTGCTTTATTTATTTTTTTTTACAGCTGTTTTCATTTTTCTCAATATGTACATAATTCTCTTTAACTAAAACACAATCTCATTTTAGTTCTAATTCTATTTCTAACTCTAAATCAAGTTCTATTTCTCGCCCAAAACCTGACACTAAATAAATCCATTATTTCACATACAATTAATTCTTTATACTACATAATAATATCTTCATTTGCATTAATAAATTTATTTATAAAGAATCATTTTTAATCATTGGAATTAAAAAACAACAAAGCAAGTTTACAAATCAAAAATATAAATACTTATCTACTATACTGCAATCTTCTTTGAATTATTTCATTTGCTTTGGCTATCAATTCAGCTCTAAACACTTTATTTTATTAATCATTGGAACTCATTATCCAAAGCGAAGCGTAAGACTCATACTTCTACGTTAAATAATACCAAAGTTACCTTTTTGATACAACCAAAATTACCTTTTTGATATATTTATAATAAAAATATCAAAAACGCAATTGTGGCATTTTCCGTCTGTTACGCCAAAGTAAACCCTATTTCGCAAGATATAAGCATTTTTGTCTTCGCGATTATATGTTTTCTTCTTTATAAATAAAGAAGAAAGCATATAATCGTGAAGACAAAAATGCTTATATTTCGCGATCTACTAGGCTTATTTTAACGTTTTAACTGCCATTTTGATCGTAAGACAGTATTCTACAACTTTACTTAGAAGCTAAAAAGAGATTGACTAAGCAAAATTTTAAAAATCACATTATTTTTTATAATTTTATTAATAAAATTATAGAAAATATTAAAATCCACAAAATTTTACTACTTAATTCTACCTTTATGCTCTAAGTAAACTAGTTCTATGCATAAAATTACATTATATCAGTATATGTTTACCTTATAATTTCAAATTTTAAGAGAAAAGATCCTTAATTTTGAAATTTTGATCAAAATTTCAAAATTAAGCATCTTTCCTCTTAAAATTTAAAATTATAAAGTAAACATATGGGGTTGAGTCAATAGAAACCAAGCAAATTTTTTTTAGTAAGTTTTTTTTAAATTTTAAACAAGAATAAC